AATTTCCTTAAAACCATCATCCCCACTTATGTTTTTTTTTCCTTCAGAATTATACAGCATTAATAATGTCCCCTGACAATTTATTTAGCAATCTTCATTTCTTCATTAAAATGCATGTCTGTTGTTATTCTATTAATTATAGGAAAGGTAACGTCTTAGGTTTGATTCCCAATCAACATATATTAGTTCTTTCTGTAAGGAAGAGGCTATGTCCCTAGGCACGTCTAACCATCATCGTGGTCCTCTTGACATATCTCCCGGACTCCACTGTCGGATGCCAAGGATGAATCCAGTCCAGCCGACCCCAGAGACCGTTAAGGAGAGCCACATAACAGTCGTTGAACCACCATCCGCAGTCCTCAACGGCGGCACAGTTTCCATCCTTAAATTGGTCATTGTCTTGATCAGGAGTGCTGAAGTACATGAGGGAAAGGTCAGCTGTAGGAATCCCGGTGTTTAACATAGCATCACCTACAGAGTTAAAAAAAATATATCAGTGCCGATGTATATTGTGAACTGGTCAGATGTACTTGTAGATATCAAGGGATCTAACAAAGCATCGCCTACATGGTTAAAAAAAAATATATGTACGAATGTACATAGTGAAAAGGTCATACGTAGGTATCCAATGTATTTGACATAGCATCACCTACAGACTTAAATAATAAAAGTGAGGCACATTGTGAACTGTTCAGATATCCAAGTATCTAACAAGGCATTGCCTACAGATGTAAATAATACAAGCTAATTCAGAAATTTGTCCCCGCTCGGGGAAAAAGTCGGCTCCCCCTGACTGAATTTGAGAATTATTAAATGTATACATGTATACTGAAGCAAATAAATACATGTATGTCAATATATGATATAAGATTTGATTGCTTATTTTTTATTATGTGTATAGAAGATTTTTTTATATGTAATGTTTATCACACTGTAATGATGATTTTATAACCTCATAAATTTTTATTTCACATGCTGAATACTATCATTTAGTTTAAAAAAAAAAAGAAGGACCGACAGAGATTCATTGGGACCTCTCACATTTGAAGCGAGAAAACATAACCACTAGACCACGGAATCGCTTTACTGGCGAAAGAATATGAGAACTAAGTCACATACATGTATATATTCATGTTTTCATGTTCGGTATTCTCAAAATTTTACACAATCCATGGTGTTTGATTTATTTAGCCTTTATTAAACAGTTCTAATAGATGTAATAAGAACATAAAGTCCGCCGAGAACCTGTTTTATACGTTTTATACGCAATAACTCTCCTCATGCCCCTGCGCTAAAAATAGCGACATGTAATATAAAACAAACGGGGCGGGGCACTTTGAGAGGGGCGAGACACGTCCTAGGGAGTTTTGGTATAAAATTACATTGCATAAGCTCAAAATCTTTTTGAAATATCGCCCGGAAATGATAGTATTGCACACAGACATAATGTATAAAGTTACGACCTTGAACTTTGACCTTTTGACCTCAAAATCAATAGGGGTCTTCATTAGGCCACAGGGAGTTGTTATATAAAATTTCATTGCAATAGCTCAAATGGTTCTAGAGATATCGTGTGGAAACGAAAGTGTTTTAACAGAAGAATTTGCTTATTTATGATTAACTTTACCTTTTGACCTCAAAATCAATAGGGGTCTCATTGGCCACAGGGAGTTGTTATATAAAATTTCATTGCAATAGCTCAAATGGTTCTAGAGATATCGTGTGGAAACGAAAGTGTTTTAACAGACAGAATTTGCTTATTTATGACCTTGACCTTTGACCTTTTGACCTCAAAATCAATAGGGGTCTTCTTTAGTCCATAGGGAGTTGCTATGTTAAATTTCATTGCAAAAGCTCAAAGGGTTCTCGAGATGTCGTGTGGAAACGAAAGCGTTACAGACAGAAAGAAAAGACGGACGGACGGACGGACAGACGGACGGACGGACGGACGGACGGACAAACCCAAATTAATATCCCCACTTTCAAGCGGGGGACAAAAAGTGAGGGCACGTTGTGAACTGTTCAAATGTACGAGGGGTGATCAAAAAGTTCGCGAACTACCTCTATATTTACAAAACAGAATGAAATTTGGCACACATAAAGCCATACAAATGTTCTATATATAGCACATGTGACGCAACGTTTTTCTATGTGTTTGTGACGTTACAATGTGAAAATGACGTCATACGGTAGATAACTTGTGACAAAAAATAGTTGACTCAGTCGTAATCAAGAAACGAACGGCTGTAAAGTTACGTAACGTATAGCTTGGAAATTCCTATGTAGAAACTTATAACAATTTGTATACGGTTTATGAAGACAAAAGATTTGCCATAAGTTTTTTCATTAATTGGATTGGTTGTTTAAGTGAAGGAAGAGAGATGTTTAAATATGATGTCTGCACTGTCGCCCAGTGAAAGCAAACTGGGAGAGAGACGTTCCGTTGTTAAGAATTTTGAAACAAAATTGCCAACTTACAGTTAGAAAAATAAAAAATTCTTTACAATAAATATGATTATCAATCCCAAAATTTTTTTTAATTAATTTTAAACATATCAGATATGATAAAGTGAAGGCCCCATACTTTTACAAAAAAACGACACTCAAAGGACAGAGAACTTGGGTTTTGATGGTCACCATGCTCATTCTGCAAAAGGATTCATTACCCAACCATACTATTTCAGAGCCATTTCTGATAAGTAGATTTTTGTTGAAAAAAAATAACCTGCATGGTAAGAAATATGAGTTGGAAAAACTTAAGATTCTGTGACAGAACGCTAAGGAGCATGTCACGTGACCCCAATCCGGATCAGCGCATGGACAGAATGGTTGCAGATGCGCATAAAAATCGGAGAGGACACTTTAAAACATTTTCAACACTGAATCCCTATGTCATTATACCCCCCGCTTGAAAAGGGGGGGTATATATAATCGGATTTCCCTTTGTCCGCGCCCGTCCGTTGTTACGTTTTGGGGGTACCCATCTCATCCGCAACTCCTCTCATACCACTGAATGAAATTTGATGAAACTTTCACAGAATCTTTATTACATGTTGCCATTGTGCACCTCCTATTTTACTTTTTGATCCGACACATATTTTGGGTTTCCCGGCCACAGGAAAACATGGACTTTTTCACCAGTTATAACCATAGGGGAGGGGGGGAAATTTTTTTAGTAGTACCCTCACATACCTCTAGTTTTTTTTTGGAAGTTATTCAATTAGTTCGCGAACTTTTTGATCACCCCTCGTACATATAGGATCAAAGTATCAAAGAAGGCATTGCCTACAGAGTTAAAGCAAAGTAATACAAAACACGCACTAAAACGTGTCTGAGTGATTGAATGTCTAAAGTATACCTTACTAAATTCATTTCCTTGTTTTAGACCTAAAATCTTTTTTTAGAACATTGCTTTTAGCTTTGTCCGTTCGACAAACATTACAAGCTTTGCAAGGTTTTGGGATTTTAGAAGATGTTTTGGAAGGTTCAATTACGTTTTCAGAAATTGATATTTTCCATACCCGACTTTTTTTTTTGGTATACTTATAATCTTATAAAACTTGTGTCGTATCATCTTTTAAGATTTTTTTTTTTTAAAAGACACCACGATAGTATCACTTAAAGAAATTGTCTTTTAAATATATTTTAAAAAATGAAGAAAAAATACTTACTTGATATTCAAAAGGCGAATTGTATCTTCTATAAGAGCTGACTTTATATCAAAGTCAATTTTTTCATCTGTACCAAAACTAGGAGATCGGTTGATCTGTAAGACAAACAAATCAGCAATGAGTTACATTGTACCTGCCCTTAAGGACAGAAATATCTAAACAGCTTAAGTTTTCGAGCAATAATATTCAACAAGCACAAAAAATTATTTTGAAAATTCAAGGTCCTTAAGAAGCCACAGAATTTACCTCCAGCAACCATGGATTTAACTTCCTGTCGATTAACACGTCAAATCCCAGCACTTCGAAACAGACACTATCACTTCCTGCAGGAGCACCAGGGCGACACATGCGGTAGGCATGGAGGAGATGGGGGTGGGCCACCAAAAGTGTCTTAACCACCATGTCATAGATCCGTCGCCATAGCAACACAATATCATAGTCATTTTTACGTAGATAATCATTGAAGTAGCGAATCGATCGCTTACTTCCCGTCTCCACTGAGTCTCCTTTCTGGTAGAACTCATTGTGTTTGTTCACTGAATAATTTGTCAAATGCATGAAGAGGTTACCCTGAAAAAAAAAAAGGCATCGAAAATGATGTTGTTATCATGTGGGAAACTGTAACAATAATTATATGATACAATATGTATGTCTTGGTATTTTTACCAAGTGTATCAAATACTTCTGAAAAACTCAATTTTATGTTCTCACCAGGTTTCCGTCGGAGGGATTGGTGTATTTATCTGTACTCATCCTAACAAGTCCATCATTGAATATGAATATTCGCAAGGGATCACAAGAAGTCACAAGAACATAGATGCGCAGATCAAATTTGTAGCCTTCCAGCAGTAGAGGTTTGTCTATGTATTCTTGCACAATAAAATGTTCAGAGGGTGGGATCTTTTCTGCATTTCTATATAACTGAATTCTAAAATGTTGAAAAAAGACAAAGTCAAAAAACTTAATTAAGTTATAAAGAAAAAAATTTGTACTTATATTATTTTCCATTTAAAGACAAAATGGAGGATTACATGTAAGTGCTGACTTTTTATGAGCAAAAAATATCACACTAGAGTAATGCTATAATCAAAATGTGTTTATTTCATATTACCCCCCCCCCCCCCCTCCCTTCACCTTACTCAAGTTTTTAATTTAATACTGTAAAATAACATTTCGTCGGGTCAAATTTTTATGGTTTGAGGAAAAATTGTTGGTTCATGGGGATTTCACTTCATGGATGAAGAACATTTTAGTAGTTGTGCATATGAAAATTTACATTTCGTGGTGGTCATGAATTTGTGGGTCTCTTCATACCTCGAAAACAACAAAAATTAAACCCCCACGAAATTAGTAATTTTACAATATATTAAATTCCAAAACAAAATAATGAAAGTTGAAAAACTGTTTGTCACAAGATTCTTACCCATGCCCCTGTGCTCCATTTGATGGTTTGACTATGAAGGTTTTGTACTTTTTCTTAGCTTTGAGGTCCTTAGCATAATTCTGTAACATACTGAAGTCTGCTGGCAGAATCCAAGACTTTGGGACAAAGTTAAACTCATCAGCATGGTGTCTCTGTATCCTACACAACAAATTGTAATTATGTAAGTGAAAATGCTATGAGCTAGGTACATGTATGCATACATGTAAAACTAATATGAAATGTTTGAAGCCTAGCATCTGTGCAACAAACATTACCAAACCTCTGATATAATGTCAGTTTTTTCAAATGAAATTGAGCCATTTGAGTCCTAATACTTGCTTTCAATTTCTCTAAACTTTAATAATAAACATGTAAGTACGTATACATGCACCAGCTCTCTAATTAGATGAACTCTGAGAAATGCATAAAGTGACGAGGGTAATGCTTTCTGGTCAAAATTCAAGCCTGTGTGTTTTCTTTATAACATTCCACAATTGCTGGCTTACTTGATCATGTTGCGAGCCAGGCAGTCTTTCCTTGTGACTTCCACCATGCCTGGGAAGTGGTTGATTCTCTGGAATGGCTTCAGTTCTGTAATTCTGTCTGCAGACACAAAACTGTCACTCCAGATGAGGTAGCTAAACAAATATAAAGAACAACATGAGATACCTGAAGTACAGAACAACCAGTTCTTCTTCATAAAAATAATCCTCTGAAGGACATTTCTTGATTTGTTAAAAAAAACAACCAGAAGTCTTTGTCGAGACTGAAGCTCTACTGGTTTGTATTTATAGCAAAGGAAGAGAAATACTTTAATAAGCAGTTGGGAATGGAAACTTTACAACAGTAATAAATAGAATAATGATCCTTGATTGAGCCTCTTTATGTTCAAGTTATATTGAAATCAGACCAAAACTGTAGGAGGAGTAGCATTTTGAGAGAATTTCACAGAAATTTCTATTTTTAGTAACCACGGCAACATCGTTCATCGAATTCAAAAACCGATGCACAGAATTATGTATCTTAGTGTAGTCTACTTGTGTGCCAAGTTATATTGAAATCAGATTAAAACTGTAGGAGAGAGCAAAAAACGTAGGTCCCGTGTCACGGTAGGCGCTGGCACGATAAAGAACCCTCACTGCTCAATGGCTCTGGGTGCCGAGTATAAGTCTAAATTTGAAGCCCTTCACCGGCATACGGTGACGTCTCCATATGAGTGAAAAAATCTCAAGAGGGACGTTAAACAATATACAATCAATCAATCAAAATACATTCGCTTGTTTTCAAAATGATAACAAAATTCTGCATTTTCTTCCTTTAGAAAATCTGAAGCGGAGTTTTATTTCAATGATACTAACATGTTCCCTTGTGCGGTTAAAAGACCTATAATCACCTAGGGTAAAGTCATTAATAATATAGCATCACACAATATAAAAAATCTTTTGTATAAAGTGCGTTCCATTTATTCTTTGTACAAGTAGTAATAAAAATAGGCATCACCATTTCACACCTGAATCAACTATACTACATCATGTGCTTACTTTGAAAGTTGTTAAAATCGTAAATTTCATGTCTGAGGTAAAGTACGTGTAAACATAACATGCATTAAGTCACACAATATACGGAAATCGATCCTTTATATAGCATATACTCCCATTTTGAAGCTTACAAAAAAACCAGAAGTCTCTGTCGAGACTGTAGCTCTACTGGTTTCTACTTTAAACAAAGAAAAGTGGCAGCTGGGACCTGAAACTTCACAACAGCAATAAATAGAATAATGATCATGTATCTCATGATCAGTGTACATTAATACTTGCAGGCCACATTATACACGTACTATAAGCAGACTAAAACTGTATTTGGAATTGCATTTTTTAAGTATTTCACAGAAATTGTTAATGTTAGTAAATATGGCAACACCTTTCTTCAAAATCAGAAGTTGATAAACAGAATTATGTATCTTAGTGTAGTCTACTTGTGTGCCAAGTTATATTGAAATCAGAGCAAAACTGTAGGAGAAATAGCATTTTGAATGAATTTCACGGAAATTTCTATTTTAATTAAACATGCAAACACCGTTCATCGAAATCGAAAACCGATACACAGAATTACGTATCTTAGTGTAGTCTACCTGTGTGTCAAGTTATATTGAAATCAGACCAAAACTGTAGGAGGAGTAGCATTTTGAAAGTTTTTCAAGGAAATTTCTTTTTTTAATAACCATTGCAACGCCGTTCATCGAAACCAGAAACCGATTAACAGAATTATGTATCTTACTGTAGTCTACTTGTGTGCCAAGTTACATTGAAATCAGACTAAAACTGTAGGAAGAGTAGCATTTTGAATGTTTTCCACGGAAATTTCTATTTTTAATAACCACAGCAGCACCGTTCATCGAAACCAGAAACCGATATATAGAATTATGCATCTTTAGTGTAGTCTACTTGTGTGCCAAGTTATATTGAAATCAGACTAAAACTGCAGGAAGAGTAGCATTTTGAATGTTTTCCACGGACATTTCTATTTTTAATAACCACAGCAGCACCGTTCATCGAAACCAGAAACCGATATATAGAATTATGTATCTTAGTGTAGTCTACTTGTGTGCCAAGTTATATTGAAATCAGACCAAAACTGTAGGAGGAGTAGCATTTTGAAAGAATTTCACATAAATTTCTATTTTTTGTAACAACGGCAACACCGGTCATCGAAATCAAAAACCGATACACGGAATTATGTATCTTAGTGTAGTCTACTTGTGTGCCAAGTTATATTGAAAATAGACCAAAACTAGGAGGAGTAGCATTTTGAAAAATTGTTTAGACAGACAGACGGACGGACGACGGACGCATTACTATTGCATAAGCTCTTCTGGTCTCTGACCAGTAGAGCTAATACTACATACCGTCCACCCTCCTCCCATAGTTTGCATGTCACAATAAACTCGGATAGGACGGAAGTTGTTCTTAAAGGGATGGATTCCGTACACTCCCGAGATATTGTAACCATTATCACGAAGGTCTTTACAGTCGGTAGGAAGAACTGACAAAAGAAATCAAATGTGTGTCAATAAGCTTAAGACATCAGTCGTTTATATCAATAAGTAAATCAATCAATCAGTTTATTCGCTCAAACCATACAACATAGTACATAAGGATCATAAAGAATTTATCATATTTATTTAATCGTCATGGGTAGGTCTGACATATCTGTACATGTTAACATAGATAAGTATCAAGTATGTTAACTGAATGTAAAATGATGAGACATATAGTAATAGCAGGGTGTTTGTATTCAATGCAAAGAAAAACAACGCCATTATGACAATATTATAAAAGGGATAAGACTGTTTCAAAGATTTTTAAACAAATCTTTTAAGATTTCCTAAAGATTTAATATTTGAATCTGCCATGAGTTCATAGAACTTTATAACATTTGGTTTTCTGCAGTAACTCTTATGTTAAAAAAGTACTTTATTTCTGAAAAAAAATTGTACGTTCTAAAATGCAGTGGAATTCATCATCCATTTCTTCTATCTTCTCATCATAAATATACTCTTTCATATAGATGGGTGTAACAACATCTCCCTGTTCTATTGGTAGATTGTGATTTGAAGACATTTTCATCATTTATTTCTTTTCTTCTCAGGTTGAAATTTCAATATAGCCTTCAAATCCGCAAAAAAATTGTTAATCTGGCATTAAGAATAATATTTACGTCATTTAAGCACTTTTGATTAAACTGGTGTTTTAAAATTGATTTACTTAGCTTTTATCCTTTTTAACTATCAAGTTTTGCTCGTGCTGTATCCCGGGGTTTTTATAAAATCCACACTTACTTAAAATCATTTAGATGCATTGTTTGTTTTCAACCTATACGTCTACATTTTAGAAGACAATGGTCAATTGATGGAATTTCGTTTCCTTTTAAATTATATAAAACCTATTTGAATGATATACGAGGATTTTCCGGAAAATCGTGGACAAGTTGTTAAGTGTGAAATAATTATCACTGCGCTCTGAAATTTCCCTACTTTTTAGTTCACATTTTCGGATTAAAAATAGCAAATTTCAAATAGATATTTGCATAAATAAACAAATTTTAAGTTTTTATGTTATGTACTTGTATGCCTTACGGCGCACTGGTGATAACGTCAAAGTGTCTAAAACAGCGTCACATTTAATCTTTGCGCTAAAAAAAAAGTCACTTAAATTAAGTAATTTCATTGTTGCACATACTTTTGTTGTTTTCTTAAACAGCTGAGGAACCAATGTACCACCAACATGCAATCTTATGAGGATTTATTAGTAAGTTACGGACAATATTCCTGCCACCATTCAACTAATAGACAAGCTTCTTTTTTACGTAAAGAGACAGTGTCTTTTGCTATTACAATAGCAGTTTGCCCGTATGATTTGCACTACCTTGGGACTCGATTATAAAGACTTCGCTATGAAAATTTTATTTTTATACTAAAGATGTAGCAATTCTTTGTTATTTTTTTTCTTTTATATTCATTTAAAAATCCTTAAAGTGTTATTACAAAACTAAATCAACGAACTGCTGTCCGGTCCGCCGGTACGTTATCTAACGTTGTCATTTTTCGTATAATGGGTTTACAATGTACGACTTTCCCATTTCGAAGTTTTGGAAATCCGAAATTAACCAAATGCCTTGAATATTTTAAGAGACAACAAAATAAATTGTGGAATCGAATAAGGATAATTTTTAACCCAGTCTTATCTATTTAAATCTTTTATTTTAAAAAATATGTATTCTCAATAAAAATTCGTTTTTTTACCGTGGCCGTAAAATACCCTGAGCACATTCAAGCATTATTAAATCTTTATTTTTGTCATATTTTTTAAAAAAAAAAACATGACGATTTATTATGATAAATAAACATTTACTGTAAATTTCAGCTTAGTGCGCAATTTTTTGAAAAAACACTTGTTCCCCCATTTTACCGGACAATCCTCGTACATTACATTAAAAAAAATCTTGTACATCTTAACTAGCCCTCCTTGTTGTGTAAACAGCATTTCTTTTTTAATATTGTTTATGTTAAAAATCAATAGTGTTCAATGATAGGGGATCATTTTAAAAATTACCAATGCCTGTGTTATAGGATTTGAATGTAAAATTTACTAAACCAATACCAGATAAGTGGATGTGAAATTAATTTGCAGAATTGCAACTAAAGTCGTATTTAATTTATTTGGAAATTTTTTTGTGAAAAATATTAAAAAGACCCAAGAGAAATAAAATAAAAGTTAAGAAATAAAGGTAACAAATTGTTGTCATAAAAGGTTTATACCTGTGCATAAGTCGCCGATATAACCATTGATACAGTTGCATGTGTAATTACGTATTGCTGATAGGTCTGCTTCACAGGAACCACCGTTATCACAAGCATGATTGGCACAGACATTGACTATAGAAATAAATAATAGTATATACATTGCCCACTGAAGTATGTTCAAAAATTTTGATTCTGTTGCATAGCTTTAATTTTTGCAGGTTCGTTGGAACACGGTTTTGTGTATTCTAATAGGAGTTAAAACATTGTTACCTTATTTTTTTTCATTCGTGAAGAATGTTATTTCGTGAATGTTAGGTGTCCAAGAATTGCACGAAAAATGAGCTACCGACAAAAACATTATGGTTCCATAATATATTATAAAGTCTCATAAATAGAGTTAAGTAGATATGTCCATAATTAGAAAACAATATATTTCATACAATACTGATATTATTGTAGATCACATAATGTTACATTTTGGAAGGCGTTTTAGCAACCGCTAATGATATAACGCCTCTAAATGGTACAAATATCATTATGCGTTGCAACACTTTGTGCTATAAATCATTGCATTAATAATTGACTTGCTCATCCATTTAATGATATAATTCTTTCATTAAGCGGAAATTTAACATTAGTGGTTGAAAGGGTTTACCATTAATATAATAATTTATGAAATTAAGCGTAGCAGTTGCAATGCTTAGTGATATTTGTATCATTAAAGCGGCGTTCTGTCGTTAGTGGTGGCTACTAGGTGTTCAAGAACCTTTCAAAGACTTATGTTGCCTATTGTACCTTCACAGCTTTCTCCAATGTAACCAGTATTACAGTAACACTTGTATCCTGTTTACTGGACTTGTCTGCCTGACAAGTGGCTCCATTTTGGCAATTATTGTTGTCACATGCATGAACTACATAGAAAAATGGTTACTACATAGAAAAATACCTCTTTTATAATACTTATCTATATACCTCTTATGACCTACAAAATGCCAACTTGAACCATAGCTTATACATAAGAAAAATTGTTGACGTAAATGAAGCTATTTGTTTTTACCTTTTGCATTGTAAGAGTTTACCTTCACAGTACTTCCCGACGTAATCCTTCATACAGATACATGTATATCCCTGATCATTACTTGGGTCTTCCTGGCATGTTCCTTTCGACAATTATGGTCGTCACATGCGTTATCTATATATATAAAAAAATAAATAAGCCTATGCAGTTTGTGTTTGCAAAATATTTATTAGTAATTTTTTCCCAAAAGGTCTCTCGGATGAGACTTTAAAAACCGAGGTCCTCTGTCACGGCAAGCGTTGGCACGATAAAAGAAACCCAACTGCTAAATGGCCTGAGTGCCTAGTAAAAGTCAAAATTTGAGGCCTTTCACCGGGGTATTTTGATGTCTCTACATGGTGAAAACTTCTCGAATGGGACCTAAACAACCGACAATCAATCAACAAGCATATAAATATCAAAATCCCCTATTTGTACTCTAAACTTATTAAGATTATAAAGCATAGCCCTTTTAAATAATTTTTCTTAAAATATCAAATTACAGTTGAGGATCATATCTTTAATAAATTTAACAACAGCATCAAAGCGGAGTATCCCCTCGCAAAGATCGTATCGATAAGTGAAGATATATTTGAAACTACAGTGAACAGAATAGTGCGTGGTGTAATTGGGAACAGAAATTTAAATCTGCCTCAAATGGAATCAACAGTGATAGCCAATCCAAAAATTACATCTGGTTCTTTTGTTTTTCAAGATTTAAAACATTTAAAGGTATCGGAATGTTACAACACCTTAAATCAACAATGGTCTAATTATATTTTGAGGTATGATTGCACCGTTGATAAATTGGATATTTTTGGTTAAAAAGTGTATCATTATCTTTGGATTCAGTAGGAGTGAAATGTATTACATGTACATGTAAAAACAGAGTTTGAGACGGAGTATTAAAAACAGTAAGATTTTTGGGCAGAAATCAAAGAAATATTTCCTTAAATAAATAAATCATATTTATGAAAGTATTAATTTCAATTAAATGTGATATGGATAAAGGAAAAATAAATCCTCTATCTTTCATTATTTTAATTTGTAATGTAAATTGTTTTAGAGATCGATTTTCCTACTCCATTTTTGTAGTGTTTAATGGACTTTTGAGCTGGAATCCTCTTCGTTATTTTCCTATATTTTATACTGATTCTTAGACAATTGAAGCACATGAATATATATCATGCATTAAAGACTGTTCAAAATGTTAATCGAAACGGCTCAATCAGCAGAATAATAAGCTTCAAAAATATTGAGAAAATTTGTTAAACTTTCTACGATGCGAGAAATTCCACCTTTATACAACCACTCTAATTAATTCTACACATCTCTTTGTCGCTGAGAACCAAGTTATTCTAATATAAATAAATTAGTGAACAATTCAGCGTCTGACCTTTTTGGTGAATCGTCAGAACTACAGTTAACCCTGTTAAGGTACCGGCCAGACAAACTCCAACAACCATTGTAAAACTCTTGGTTTTACCTGCTGGACCAGCATAACTCATTCCTAATCAGAAAATATACAAAAATTACAATTAAGCATACATGTGTACATGCATTTATATCTTAACTGATACATGTGTATAAAGAAAGAAGTGTTTAAAAACAGCATACTTTATAGACAGGGTATATACTTTCTCAATACGGATGACTTATATTAAAAAAAATAAGTAGTCCAGTTAAAGGCATATGGTATTTGATTATTTTATTTAAAAAATGAATTTAATTTTTGAAGATTCATGATGTTATGAACTACGACGCTTCACGCCGGCATATTTCATTTAGCGCGTTAGCGCTTCATGATAGATATTTCGGCGTGTTAGCGGTTCATGATAAATATGCCGGCGTGAAGCGTTGTAGTTCATATACCTCATGCATCTTCAAAAATTTATTTTCTGATGACTTGCCATAAAAGTACGCCGTTCAACTGTCATTTTTAAAACAAAGCAGTGTGCACTATATTTTTTTTACTTTTTGACGTCAAGAGCGGTATTATGACGTAACAATGGAGATATTTATGCTAATTCGTGATACATACCTAATGTAGTTCATGAGAAAATATACTGCATTTTATTTTGTACAGAATCATAGAGGAAATTTATTGGAAATGTAAATATATAATTATAAATAATAGATGAGTTCTTTAATACATATTTAGGGTTGTCCCAGAAAATCGTGAATTTTTTAAAAAATATCAAATACTGTTCAACCAAAACTAATAATTTGCTGAATGCTGTGTGAAAATGATCTTTTTTGTA